CATGGCTCATATCCCAAGCACCATAGCCTTCAAAGTGACATCCTTGCTCGTTAACACCATAAAGGGGTCTTGTGCAGCAGATTTGCCCAATGCAAAGCATCATTTGATTTCTTCATTGCTGTTTCCATGAACATGGATTGTGGATCAAGCAAAATGAAATCCTGGCCAACTTCAATCTTTTCTCTGGCCATGATAATGTTTATTGGTGCCGTTTTCTTTACATTGATTGCAATCCATATTGAAGGTGGTAGGCCTTAATCTTCATCAGCAAGTACGTCAAGTCGTCCTTGATTTCAGCAAGCACAGTTAGTTGCGTATTTCAGGTAGTTTATAAGCCTTCCTTCCATCTGGAGGCTGAGTTCTTCCTCAGGCAGCCAGGTTTTCAGATTATTTGCTCAGCATGATGGTATAGTGGGTTACTTGTTGGGCTGCCAACTACAAGGTCATTAGTTTGGAACTACCATCTCCCAGGGAAAAAGAGGAGGCTTTCTGTTTATAGCCTCAGAAACCCCCATGGACAGTTCTCCTTGGTCCTATTTGGTCACTACAAGTGGGAAGTGATTGAATGTCAATAAAATTTTTTTGGTATACAGATTAAACAAATGTAAAAGGATACAATCCTGACATACACCTTTCCTGACTTTAAACCATGCAGTATTCCCTTGTTGTTTTCCTACAACTGCTCTTATTCCATGTGCAAATTCTGCACTCAATGTTATTCTTATTTTTCTGTGATCTACATAGTCAAATGCCTTAGCACAGTCAAGGAAAAACAAGCAAACATCTTTCTGGTACTATCTGCTTTCAGCAGAGATCTCTCTGACATGAGCAATGATACCGCACATGCTGCACCCCCTTCTGAATCTGGCCTGAATTGCTGGCAACTCCCTATCAATGTACCATTGTAGCTGTTGGATAACCTTCAGCAAAATTTTACTTATGTGTGATATTAATGATATTATTCAATATCGTCTACCTTCTGTTGGGTAACATTTATTTGGCATGAGCACAAATATGGATCTCTTCCAGTTGGTTAGTCAACTGGAAACTTCTTGGCATGGACAGTGAATGCTTCCAGCATCGCTGAAACTACGTCCCTGTAAAAGAACGGATTTTCAGTTCAGGTTTAAACAAAAGCTTTTAAAAGAAAAACTTCCACTTATTCACCCTTTTATTTATCCTCTCATTACCCTATCCTACTGGTGTAGGTTGAAAAAAAAAACATAGAGTGAAACCTCAACTTTTGAAACATAAAAACTAGAAAGTCACAGAATATAATTTTTTAATCCATCACATCTCTCCCTTAGAAAAGAAAGCACACATGGGGATG